GCCAGCCCAATGGGGGGGTTTTTTGTGTGTGTTTTTGAAATTGAGCTGTATTTGAAATATACCAAATTACTCAGATCTTTAATGTATAATTTGATGAGTTTTGACAGGTATATATATATGTCCATGTAGCCATCACTCAAATTAAAATATAGAAAGATCTCTCTTGACCAGTCAATACTCTCCCCTTGAGGCAACCATTGTTAAGATTTTTAATCCCTATAGGTTAAAAATACCTGACTCCCCTTGGAAGTGGGTCCTTCCCCAGTCAATCTTCAAGATGAATGTAGCCCCAGTCAACCCCTTAATTGCAGCCTTGTGAGAGACCCTGAGTGAGAGAACCCATCTAAGCCACACCTGGATTCCTGACCCACAGAAACTGAGACAATAGATATTGTCTTAACTCACTAAGTTTTGGGGTAATTTGCTATACATCGAATAGATAACTAACACAGATTTTGATACTGGGAATAGGGCAGCCTGAAGACGTAGGAGTGTCCTTCAAACTGAGAAGTGAGTGGAGGCTGGAAGAATTTTAAGGAGAATGTTAGAGAACAAACTGTTGGTAGAAATTTGGACTTTGTGGATGCTGCTGATGAGGGCTCAAAAGGAAGTGAAGAACGTGTTTTGGAAACTGGAGGATTCTTGTTATAGAATGACAGAAAACTTAACAGCACTGCCATCTGCTGTTATGTGGGAATGAACTTGATGATCTATCTAATATTTCCAAGCAAAGTGTTGAAAGTACCTGGCTTCTTCTTTCTGCTTATAGCAAAATGTGAAAGGAGATAAATAAATTGAGAAAAGGACTGTTAAACAGAAAGGAGTCAGAACTTGATGGTTTTGAAAAGTATTAGCTTCTCCAGATAGCACATGATGCTAAAACTAAGAAATGCTTTCACAGTGTCATGAGGGAAATGTGGTGTAGAGATAAAGCAAAGGATGTGACTGTACAGCCTTTTAAGACTTCGGAAAGATCAGAGGATCAGAGTATTCAGCCACATAAAAGCCACTTCGAAGAGATGAAATATGCCCCACAGATCTTCCCAATCAAAAAATAGGGCCTTAAGAGTGTTGTCCTCAGCCCTCAGTGTTCAAGGTAGAAAGGGGCTTATTTTGACGAGATCTATGGGTGCAGCTTTTGTCTAATGGCATGAACCTAGTAAGATTCACAGAAACCCAATAAAATTCTAGAGCAACATATATCAGCAGAAACACTACCACTTTGGACTGAAAGAGATACAAACAATACAAAAGGGAAAGATGTTTGACCCCCAAAATTCTTCTGGCAGGAGGCAGACTGAGCAAACTCTTCTGTAGCCTTTCATGAAAAAGGAGGGATGAGTCATATGTTGGAGTCAGGAACCCAGAGTGGGGAGCCAAAGCCATGAAGAATTATTCCTAGACCTTGAGATCTAGTCAAGAAATTCCTAACATTTACCCAATCAGATAACACTTTATTTTCTTCAGCATTTAAAAAATATCATTCAGCTGTAGTTTGGCATCCATTTCTTCTGTTAAGTAGTAAGTAGTTACTTGAGTCACTTGTTTTGGCTTTCAGTAGTTTGACTATGAGTATGATGTGTCTAGGTATGGTTTTCTGTATATTATCCTGCTTGGGGTTTGTCAAACTTCTTGAATCCATGTCTTTCACCAAATTTGGGAAGTTTCTACCCATTATTTTTAAAAATATATTTTCTCCCCTTTTCTTCTGTCCTTCTGGGTCTCAAATTGCATGTTTGATAGATCTTTTGATTTTGTCTTATCCTTCTGTCTTAATCTGTTTGTGCTACTATAACAAAATACCTGAGACTGGGTAATTTGTAAACAATAGAAATTTATTTCTCACAATTCTGGAGGCCAGGAAGCCCAAGATCAAGGTACTGGCAGGTTCAGTGTCTGGTGAGGGCTTCTTTCTGCTTCCAAGATGGCACCCTTGTTGCTGCATCCTCTAGAAGGGACGAACACTGTGTCCTCACATGGTGGAAGGGATGGAAGGGAAAAAAGGAAGGGACCTAGCTAGTTCCCTCCAGCCCTTTTATAAGAGCACTAATCTTTTCATGAAAGTGGAACCCTCATCATCTAATCACCTCCCAAAGGCGACACCTCTTAATACCAACAGTATTGGGGATTAAGATTCAACATGAATTTTGGAAGGAACACAAACATTCAAACTACAGCATTCCACCCTGGCCCCCCAAATTCATGTTCTTCTCACATACAAAATACATTTGTTCTATCCCGATAGCCCCAAAAGTCTTAACTCATTTCAGCATCAATTCAAAAGTGTAAACTCCAGAGTCTCATCTAAGTATCACCTAAATAAGATATAGGTGAAACTCAAGGTACAGTTCATTCTGAGGCAACTTCCCCTCCAGCTGTGAGCCTGTGAAATCAAACAAGTTATGTGCTTTCACAACATAATTGTGGGACAGGTATAGGATAGACATTCCCATTCCAAAAGGGAGAAATAGGCAAGAAGAAAGGGGTAAGAGGTCCCAGTAAGTCCAAAACCCAACAGAGTGAACAACATTAAATCTTGAGGCTTGAGGGCCGGCCCGTGGCTCACTCGGGAGAGTGCGGTGCTGATAACACCAAGGCACCGGGTTCGGATCCCACATAGGGATGGCTGGTTCGCTCACTGGCTGAGCGTGGTGCTGATAAAACCAAGTCAAAGGTTAAGATCCCCTTACCGGTCATCTTTAAAAAAAAAAAAAAAATCTTGCGGCTTGAGAATAATCTTCTTTGACTTTCATGTCCTGCCTTCTGGACATACTGGGGCAGGGGTTGGGCCACCAAGGCTCTGAGCAGCTCTGTCCCCATGGCTTTGCTGGTCACAGCCCATGTGGTGCTCTCAAGGGTTGCCTTGCTGCTCTCCTAGGCTGGCATTGCATACTAGTGGTTCTACAGGTCTGTGGTCTTGGGGGCAGTTCTTCCCCCACAGCTTCATTAAGCATTGTCCTAGTGGGTACTGTCTGCAATGGCTCTAGCCCCATGGCTCTGCTGGGGCACTGCCCCAGGTGATACTCTCAGTGGTGGCCCCAGCCTTGCAGCTATTCTCTTCCTGGGCCCTGAGGCTCTCCAAGGCATCCTTTGAAATCTAGGTGGAGGTACTCATGCCTCTATAGCTTGTGCACTCTGTGCACCTGCAGGGTTAGCACCATATGGACACCACCTGTATTAGTCCATTTCTGTTGCTTATAACAAAATACCTGGAACTGGGTGATCTATAAAGAAAACGAAATTTATTGCATATAGTTTCTGAGGCTGGGAAGTCCAAAGTCCATCTGGTGGTCATGACAGTGACCCAAGGGTCTCACATTGCAAGATGGTGGAAGCAGAGAAAGCAGAGAGAGCAAGAGAGAGAAAGATTCTCCTCTTCCTTTAAAGCCCTCAGAACCATGCCCCTTACCACCATTTTTAGTTTATTCACTACTGCATGGTCTTATAATCCAATCACCTCTTCAAGTCTCCACCTTTCAATTACCATAATAGGATTTCCTGCCCTCTTAACAGTCACAGTGGGGGCTAAGTTTCTAATACATGAAACCTGGGGACACAATTCAAGCTTCAATAAGTTTGGGGGGGACATAATTCAATCCACTGCACCACCAAAGTTATGACTTCTGCCTTCTGGTGCAGCAGCCCAAGCTGCACCTGGGTCTACTTGAGCCATAGCTGAGGTAGCCAAGGAGTGCTGCAGTGGAATGAGGGGAGCAGAGACTTGAAGTCTCTGCTCGGGGAAGTAAGTGGCTCTGGGAAGCAAGCCCCAATGTCTCACAGGTGCACTGGGCCCCCTCCTTTAAAATTATTCTGCCCTCAAGGCACTGGAATTCTTGGCCTGTGATGGGAGTGGCAGCAGAGGTAATTTCTGAAGTGCTTTCAGGGTCATTCTTCCATTGTTTGATGAGTAGCCTCTGACTTCCTTCTATCTATACTAATCTCCTTATCAAACAGTAGCTTAACCACACCCTTGGTATTCTCTCTCAAACTTTTTTTTTATTTTTCACAATCTGGCCAGGCTGAAAATTTTCTAAATCTTTAAGTTCTGCTTTTCTTTTAATTATAAATTCCATTTTTGATTGATTTGTTTCTTGCTTCTCACATTTTACTATAAGCAGTCAGGAGAAGGCAAGCAGCTCCTTCAACACTTAGTTTAGATATTTCTTCTGCCAAGTATCCTAGCTCACTGCTCACAGTTCTGACTTCCCCAAGGAATTAGGACACAGACACAATTCAGCTAAATTCTTTGCCACTTTATAACAAGGATGACCTTTCCTCCAGTTTCTAATACCTTGTTCCTCTTTTCCATCCAAGACTTCATCAGAATTGCTTTTACTATCTATATTTCTGCCAGTATTATCATCACAACCACTTAAGTAATCTAAGAAGTTTCAAGCTTTCCCTATAGTTCTTATCTTCTGAGCCCTCAACAGAATAAGTCTTTATGGTCTAGTCTCTGCATAGTACCCAGTTCCAATGCCACCTCCACATTTTTAGGCATTTGTTATAGGAATACCCCACTTCTTGGTACCAATTTCTGTTTTAATCCATTAGTGCTGCTATAACAAAATATCTGAGACTGGGTAATCTATAAACAAAAGAAATTTATTTTTTTTCAGTTCTGGAGGCTTGAAAGTCCAAGATCAAGGTGCCAGCAGGTTCTGATTGACCAAATGTCATACATAATGAATAGCAGAAATTTATAATTAGATGTTTGGATTCTACACTATATTTTATAACAAAGAGAGAAAGAGAGAGACCAGAAAGAGAGAGAAAGAGAGGGGGAGACAAAGGTACTTCGAAAAGTTCGTGGAAAGATTTGTATTATCTTTCAATTATGTTTTTCCACACCTACACAAAAAATGTATATATAGATAAAACTAGGTATTCATGGCATATGGTATATTGTGATGAAAAATCGTTTAAAAGTTTTCTATCTATCTTCTCCCTATTCCCCAGTGCTGATCATGTTGTTATGATTGTGGATTGTGTTGTTATAGGTTTCGGTGTCATTTGAGGATGTGACTGTGGACTTCAGCAGGGAGGAGTGGCAGCAACTGGACTCTGCCCAGAGACGCCTGTACCAGGATGTGATGCTGGAGAACTACAGTCACCTGCTGTCAGTGGGTAAGCACAGCCATCCTATGAAGCAGTGAGAAGTCTGCTATGGGTTTAATTGTGTCCCCCAAATAAAATATGCTGAATTCTTAACCCCCCATACTTTAGAATATGACCTTATTTGGAAATAGAGTCTTTAAAGAAGTAATTAAGCTAAAATGAGGTCATTATGGTGGGCCTTAATCCAGTATAACTGCTGTCCTTATAAAAAGGGGAAATATAGACACAGACACACACAAAGACACACACACAGAGGGAAGACAATGTGAATACACACAGGGAGAGGATGGCATGTGACTGGAATGATACATCTATAAGCCAAGAAACACCTAAGGCCACCAGAAGCTAGGAAAGAGGTATGGAACAGTTTCTTCCGTAGCACCTCTAAATAGAGGATGGCCCTGCTGACACCTTGGTTTTGGACTTCTGGCCTCCAGAACTGTGAGAAAATAAATTTCTGTTGTTTTGAACCCCTGAGTTTGTGGTACTTTGTTACAGCAGCCCTAGGAAATTAATACAGATTTTGATACTGGGAAGTGGAGTACTGCTGATACAAATACCTAGAAAATGTAGAAGTAGCTTTGGACTTGGGTAATAGGTAGAGGCTAGGAATGTTTTGATGTGCTTGATAGAAAAAGCCTATGTTCCATTGAAGAGACTTTTGTAGAAATGTGAGTGTTGAAGTACTTTTGGTGAGGTCTCAGATGGAAATGAGGAATATGTTATTGAAAACTAGAGGAAAGATGATTCTTGTTAGAAGGTGGCAGAGAACTTAGATGAATTGTATGAGATCTCTTGGGTGAAAAGTAGAACTTGTAAGTGACAACTTGAATATTTAGCTGAGGAGATTTCTAAGCAAAATGTTGAAATCACAGCCTGGTTTCTCCTTGCTGCTTATAGTAAAATGTGAGAGGAAAGAGATAAATTGAAGAAGGAATTGTTAGGAAAACAGTACCAGAACCTTAAGATTTGGAAAATTCTCAGACTATCCATATTGCAAAAATTGAGAAAGTATACTCTGGAAAGACACCAAGGTGTGTCTGGACAACCGATTGCTAAAGAGGTCTGTGACTTATAGATCCAGTCAACCATCTCAGTAGAAACACTGCCAGCTTGGGTGGAAGGGGACAGAGATGGGAGAAAATGAGGAAAGGCTGACAGACTTCTTTCCTACACATGGGAAATAGGATAGTAAAGCTATTTGGCTGTGAACATGTTATCCTTCAAGAAAAGGAAAGAATGACTTCAAGGATGGTTCAGAGACCAGTGGGGCTGCAGCTGCTACCACAGGCACTAATGGCACTGGCTGGGGAGATGGGGGACCTACTGCCTCCGCGGTTTCAGAGGGAAGGTCCATCCCCTTGTTTCAGGGTTGAGGGGCAGAGCCACCACTCAGGAAAAGGGTGTGGTGTTGCCATGCCTGATTTGCTGTCATATCTCTTAACAGTTTCACGTGTTCTTGACCTCTTTCGTCAAAGTTCTTTTCGACTTTCCCTCATGGTACTTGTGGGCTATCAGTTTTGTGCTGGTATTTAGCCTCAGGTGGAGTTTATCATTCACTTTGGGCTACATTCTCAAGCAACAAAACTCTAGTAACACCCAGACCTAGTGCTCCAGGGGCTGCTACTGGCTTCACACCATCCACAGGTTGGGCCTCAATAGAAGGACCTGGGTCCCCTACAGCAGCACTGGGGAATGGGTCTTCTGTATGCCACATTTCTGGCACCCTGCTATGGGGCAGAGATTCATCACTGGTCTCTTCTGTGTTCACCTGCCATTACTGAGGGAGTCCTTGTTAAGTTTCTTCTCCTCCTCTAACTAATACGCTTAAATTCAGTGGGTGAGTAAATTCAGGCCCCATAACAAGCTGAAAGGTGTCCTAAGGATCTGCACTGTGATTCACCTATGGGGGCCTACTAAAGTCTCCAAACCACATCTCTATCTGCCACCATCACTTCAAGCACCATTAGGTCTGCTGGATCATATGTCCCAAGTGGCAGAGCAGCTTGCACAGTCGCCTGGACCTGTTGTAGAGCCTTCTTCTGTTCTGGGTCCCACTCAAAACTAGCTGCTTTTTGGATCATTCGGTAAATGGGCCAGAGTAGCACATCCAAATGAGGAATCCAAAGAGGCACAGTAGGTGGTGTACCTCTCTTTTGCTTGTAGGAGGGGCCAGATGCAAAAAGGTATCCCTAACCTTAGAAGGGATGCCTTGACATGCCCTACACACTGGATCTCTAGATATTTCTCTGAGGTGGAAAGCCTTTAAATTTTTGTCAGAGTTATTTCCCACCCTCTCATATACAAATGTCTTACCAATAAGTCTAGAATAGTTGCTACTTCTCACTCACTAGGTCCAATAAGCATAATGTCAGCAACGTAGTGGATCAGCGTGATATCTTGTGGAAGGGAAAGGTGATCAAGATCCCTGTGAACTAAATTGTGACGTAAGGCTGGAGAATTGATAAACCCCCGCTGTAGGACAGTGAAGGTGTATTGCAGCTGAAAGCAAATTGTTTCTGGTGGTTTTTACTAACAGGTATCTCAAAAAGAAAAAAAAAAGCATTTTCCATATCAATAGCTTCACAATAGCTTCATACTGGGTAGCAGGGAATGTGTTAATTTGCTCAAGCAATTAAATTACATCTGGAAGAGCAGCTGCAATTGGAGTCACCACTTGGTTAAGTTTATAATAATCCATCCACTGTCTTTCTTCAAAATCCATCTATTCTCTGCACAGGCCGAATAGACAAGTTGAATGGGGATGTGGTGGGAATCACCACCATTTCAAGTAGCACTAATCTCTGCAACCCCTCCAGGAGTGTGGTATTGTTTTTGTTTACTATTTTCCTAGGTAAAGGCAGTTCTAGTGGCTTCTACTTGGCCTTTCCCACCATAATAGCTCCCACTCCACAGGACAGGGAACCAGTGTGAGGATTCTACCAGCTGCTGAGTATGTCAGTTTCCAGTATGCATTCAGGAACTGGGGAAATAACTACAGGATGGGTTCAGGGGTCCACTGGACCCACTGTGAGATGGACCTGAGCTAAAACTCCATAAATCACTTCATTTCTATAAGCCCCTAGTCTGACTGGTGGATCATGGTGGCATTTTGAGTCTCCTGGAATTAGTGTTGTTCAGAGCCAGTGTCCAGTAATCCCCCAAATGTCTGATTATTTCCTCATCGCCAATGCACAGTGCTATAGTTTAAGTGTCTCCTCCAAAGCTCATCTTGAAACTTAATCCCCAATGTGGCAATGTTGAAGGGTGGGGCCTTCAGGAGGTGATGGGATCATGAAGGCTATGCCCTCATGAATGGATTAATCCATCCATGCATTAATGGATTACTGGGTTATGGATGAGTGGGTTATCATGGTAGTGTCACTGATGGCTTTATAAGGAGAGCAAGTGAGCATGTTAACACCCTCAGCCCTCTCGTCATGTGTACCCTGTGCCATCTTGCGATTCTGCAGAGAGTCCTCATCAAGAAGGCCCTCACCAAATGTGCTCTCTTTACCTGGGGCTTCCCAACCTCCAAAACTGTAAGAAATAAACCTCTTGTCTTTATAAATTACCTAGTTTCAGGTATTCTGTTATAAGCAACAGAAAACAGACTAATACACACAGTTACCCTAGTAAAAGGACATAGGTCCCTTTGGAGAAGGCTGGGGGAAAGATTAATAGTATAAATTTTTGGCAGTGTGCTAGGACCTTTTCTCAAAGGGACCTGGTCTCACCTTCATTCAAGGGGTCTGGGTCTGTAAACAGGCTCAAGTCTGGGAATTGATTGAGGGGCGTGATTCTCCTTTTATGATTCAACTTTTGTTCCCTTGACCTAGAACTCTCCTGCTTATACAGATCAACTAAGAATTTAATAGACTTCCCATCTATTTCTTTTCTAGGGACATCATGATTAAGTAGCCAATGCCATAGGTCTTTGTGAGTCAGACTATTCTGATTGTTGCTTTGTCTCTGCTGTCCATTGTGGTAACCATGTCCTCCTTGCCTTTGGCAATTAAGTGCCTCCACTTGTCCCCTGCCACCTCAGGATTTGTCTGCCCCCATTACATTTAGTTTTCCCTATTCAGTGGCAGAGTTCCCACTGTAAGGTCTGACCTACAGCAAGAGTAATCACAGAGTTCTTCAAGGATGCTGGGGCTCCCCTCATAATTTTTTTCCTCACAGTTGTGACAAGTGTGTCCTCTGGACCCTCCCAGAGTGGATAAGCTGGTCTTACATGATAAATCCACTCTAACATTCCAATTTCCCTAAGCCTTCGGATAACCTTTCTCTGTAGCATACTAAGGCAGTTCTCACATTTCAACTACATTTAGTGTAGGCCACCTTTTGGTCCATGTTTCAGCCAACAAATCAAACAAACGGCTTTTTCTAACCCCTCAAGCAGCAACATCAAATTCAGAATCTTTGCTTAGTCGGCCCATATCAATCAATTCAACCTGATCCAACTTTTTGTTCCTTCCTCCATTACCCCACATTCTTGATATCCATTTCCAGATTTATGTCTGTATAAATTGGACAAACCATGCAGTTCTTTGGGAATACTCACATCCTCATGGGTCATACTTTGTACTTCACCTTTTGGGGCCTGCTTGGACTTGAGTCTCATTATAGGCATAGAGGCAAAGAAGGATGGTGGGCACAGGTGCTTAGGGGTATCACCTATGCCTGGCAAGGCAAGTACCTCAGGGGAAACCATTGAAAGTTCTCAGAAAAAGTAGGGTTCTTCTCAGATAGGGGTAGAAGGGCTGCTTTTACTAGCAAAGAAGACTCATAAGAATTTAGAGGTTTAGGGGCTGGCTGGTTAGCTCAGTTGGTTAGAGCGAGGTGTTATAACACCAAGGTCAAGGGTTTGGATTCCCATACTGCCCGGCTGCACCCCCACCAAAAAAAAAAAAAGAATTTAGAGGTTGAAGGTCCTCATATTTTCCCATTCTAATTTTCAGGATCCCATTTCTTCCCAATCAATGCTCTCACTTTAACAGTAGATA